TTCCAAGTAAACTTGGAACTAACAAAACCCAGATCAGAGATACCGGCCAAATTCATAGCCCCAGTGAATTTATCCATTAAATTGAGGTCAGCTCTCCTACCTCCCAATTTTTCAGAGTCATGCATAATCATATTAAAATCTCCTCCCACCATCAAATTTTGGTGGAGTAGAGCTCTAGTACTAGATAATTTGTGTCAAAGATCATATCTTGCAACATTTAAAGTCCCAGCATAAACGAAAGTGAGACAACCAGAAAATTCCTCCATATTGAAAGAGGCATGCACAAACTGGCATGCACAAACTGCCTGTCGTCAGTGATGATATCAACTGTGATATGCTTCCGCCAAAACAACCAAACCTTATTAGAGCAATTAGCAAAGAAAGAAAAATGCTTAAATTTACCCAAAATAGGATCATCCGGAGAGGAGACCAAATGTTCTAAAATAAAGAAAATACCGACCTTATGAATCATTATCATTAATTTAAGTCTACCAAGAGAGTGAGGATCCGCGACTCCCCTGATATTCCAAATTAAGGCATTAAACATGAATAGACATTTTACCCTTCCTAGAGGATCTAGTCTGGGTCCGTCCATTATCTCCTTCTGAGTAATAGTGATTCATGATTCACATCCATCAAATATCATTTCCACTATTATATGGTTTTGAACCTTTTTTTGGGCTCGATACTTTTTCCGACCATATTTTTGAACATGTCATTTATCCCTCAACATTTTAGAGACCTCCAGATGAGTATCAGAAAGTACATTAGCATGATGTGATTCTAATGGAGTATTATCAAGAAGATTCAGTGCATCAGGAAGAGAAGCCGAAGAAAGCCGCACCCTATCAATATTACAGACACTAGGAAAACCCATCCCAGGAAAAACAGTATCCTTCACAGCTCTCTCGACAGGAGAAGACATAGGAACAATTTGTTCAAGAGGCGAGATAGGATGATCAACATGAGGGGCCAAATCAAGAGAATGCACAGGTGGGGAGATAGTCCCGGCAGGAACAGTTGTCGTAACCTCCATCACATTTACCGCGGGCATCAAAGAAGGTTGCTCAATATTAGGCTGTTTCGTAACTCCCCCCTTCAGCAATTCAGGGTGTAAACGAAAACAATGATCCGGGCCATGGCCAAACATGCGACAGTGAGCACAGTGAGTACAGTAGGAGGGGTGTTGCTCTAAGATTACCAGCTGTCAGTAGCCATTATGAGCTCATACGTGTATATATATATATATCTATATCTATAAATATATATATACCTTTGTTTGAGTGGGAGGAGGATATTAAGAAACCTGATGGGAAAAATGGGAAGTCTGGCATCTTTTTTATAGAAGCAGAAGGTATTCAACTTGCAGGATATTAAGAAATCTGATGGAAAAAATGGGAAGTCTGACATCTTTTTTATAGAAGCAGAAGGTATTCAACTTGCTTCCTCCTGTCGACTCAATCTAGTCGAGAAGTTTTTGTATGGTCACTCCAAAATAGAGCTGATTCATAAGGAATTTGAGCTTATGCACCTGATTGGGGAGTGGAAAATTGGATTGTTAGATGAAATACACATTCTCATACAAATTAACAATAAAGAGGATTACACACGTTTATTTGTTAGAAGAATAATCTAGATTGATAACAGAGCAATGAAGATTCTGAAATGATCAGTGGATTTTGATCCACAGACGAAACCTCTGATCATTCTGATTTGGATTTACCTCCCTGGTCTGAAATTTCATTAATTTACTCTAAAAGTTTTGTACGTTATTGCCTCAGCTTATGGTAAGCCACTCAAAACGGACATTCATACTTCTAATCTTTTCTGTCTATCTGAAGCCAAAGTACTTGTTGAAAGAGACATCACTTCATCTGCTTCTGAGGAAATTTGGTTGGGCACACAGCATCATGAATATTGACAAAAAATAGTGATTGAGTCTTTTCCTTCGTATTGTTCAAGTTGTCGTATGTTCGATCACTCCAGTTCTCAATATCATCATCTACACTCACGTCTCAGACCAAAAAAACAGAGTGCTCCACCAAAGACAGTGATTTCATCTCTTCCTGATCAGCTCCAAGTAATTGACACTATTGATCATCAAAAAGATACCCCCAAAGACGTCACTATTCTCGCAGGCAATATGACAACCATTCAGCCTTCTCAGGAACCTCCATTAATGAGTGAGAGGGAGATTCTTCAGACCTCACCTGCCCTAGAACCTATCACTGGTATTACACTTGACAATGTTTCTACTGTTTCACTACCGCCTCATAAGGTCGAGCAAGCTGTAATTGTTACTCAAGATCATGGGGATCATGTTGTACAACAACCTACATCTGTTCGGCCATATTTGGAACAACCTATTGATCAGATAAATCAATCATCGGATAAGGAATGACAGGTCTACACATTCAAGAGGAAGAAGAATAATGGAGATCTACTTGAGCTCAGGAATATGATGGATGATACCTTGGTTACTTCGGGCAATGACACCCACCGTACTAATTTGTTAGTTGGCTCAATCCCGAGAAAGAGGCAGAGGGAGGACTGCTCTTTGGTGGATTTTTTATTTTTTAACTTTATATCTTTGCTTTATTTGGGTTTTGTGTATTGTATTGTGTGAGTCAGGTTTTCTTTTAGGCCCTCTCACACAATCTTTCTGTATCTTTTTCGTTTTAATATATTAGCCCTTCGGCTTTTTTTAAATATATATATATATATATATA